AAATCTCTTAGAAAGAAGTGTTTGCATTTTATCCACTTTTAAAATTCATATTTAGTTTGCCTCATTCCAACTTGCCCTATTAGTTTGTACTTTTGGGTATGAGCAGAATAAGCAACTCTGGCCAGGTGTAAGCAAAAAGCAAATCTATTGAAAGTACACTAGGGTATCTCATGAACTCCAGGTAAAAGTCAAGAATGGGGGGAACCAGCTCAACTCTAGTGACCTCAGCAGTGGGACTTCACTGACCCTCTTACCATAGAATTTCCTTTATCTGACTTCACCTCCTATGACTTTCAGTCTGCATCTTCCTCCTACTTCTTTTAATTGCTAGGAGAGAGCATCCATTGGACACAATTTAGGTCAAATGTCCTCCTCAGACACAATCAACCATGACAACACATTGTAAGACTAACATATTACAAAGATGGCCACCAGGGGCCCAACCTTATAGAAGCAGAGAGTTCCAGAGAAGGGGGAAATGTGAGACTCTAGGAAGCCACCTCAAGAGATGTTTGCCTATTGCACATACTTTTTTCTGCTGTTCCTTTTTGTTTTTGTTTTTGTTGTTGCCATTCTTCCCTCTCTCCCTAAACTCACCCCTTACCCCATCATTACAAATATCTATACGAGATTGTATAAAATTGTATCTAGAATGGGCTCAAAATATCCTGCTAGATGTATACATTTTACATAAAATTAAAGAAAGGGAAGGAAAATAGGCTGTTGTTACTCTGCAAACTAAAATGTATACAAATCAATTTGCTTGTATGTGCTGTATACAGTCATCCAAACTTAACTAAAATATTGCACAGAGACTAACCATTACATATGCACTATGATGATGTGACTTTTACTCTGACAACCACAGGACATTCTTTCATGATTAGTAAAGACATTCAGGAGCCCAGAAATAAAACCATATTTACGCAATCAATTAATTTACAACAAAGAAACCAAGAATATACAATGGAGAAACAATAGTCTCTTCAATAAATGGTGTTGGGAAAACTTGACAGCCACATGTAAAAGAATAAAACTGGACCACTATCTTACACCATACACAAAAATTAACTCAAACTGGATTAAAGATTTGAATGTAAAACCCGAAACCATAACACTACTAAAAAAAAAAAAAAAAAAAAAAAAAAAAACCCAAAAAACAAAAAACAAAAACATAGGTGGTAAGCTCCTTGACATGAGTCTTGGCAATGATTTTTTTTTGTAACCGGCTTCAAAAGCAAAGGCAGCAAAAGCAAAAATAAACAAGTGGGCCTGTATCAAACTAAAAACCTTCTGCACAGCAAAGGAAATTATCGATGAAACAAAGAGGCAATTTACTGAGTGGGAGAAAATATTTGCAAATCATGTGGGATTTGTTAAGTGGTTAATATCCAAAATATATAAAGAACTCATACAACTCAATAACAACAACAAATCCAATTAAAAACAGGGCAGAGGATCTGAATAGACATTTTTCCAAATAAGGCATACAGATGGCCAACAGGCATATGCAGAAATACTCAGTTGTCACTAATCCTCATAGAAATGCACTTCAAAATCACGATGAAAGCAGGGCGATGGGGGAATGAGTTAAATAGGTGATGGGGATTAAGGAGTGAACTTGTGATGAGCACTGGGTGTTGTATGGAAGTATTGAATCACTATATTGTATATCTGAAATTAATATTACACTGCATGCTAACTGGAATTTAGATTAAGGTCTAAAAATAAAAATAAAAAAAAATTAAAGAAAAACCACAGTGAGATATCACCTCACACTTGCCAGAATGGCTATTATCAAAAACACAAGAAATAAGGGCGCCTGACTGGTTCAGTCAGTAGAGCATGAGACTCTTAATCTCGAGGCTCTGAGTTCAAGTCCTACACTGGGTATAAAAATTACTTTAAAAAATTAAACTACACTCATGCATTACTGAAAAAAAAAAACAAAAAAGACAAGAAATGGCAAATGTCAGTGAGGATGTGGAGAAAAGGGAACTCTCATGCCCTGTTGGTGGGAATGTAAATTGTTTTACATTCCCATACTGTGGAAAACAGTATGGAGAGTCCCCTGGGTAGCTCAGTTGGTTGAGCGTCTTTTTTCTTTTCTTTTTTTTTTAAGTTTATTTATTTATATTTGAGAAAGCCAGAGACATTGTGACGGGGGGAGGGGAAGGAAGAGGGAGAGAATCCCAAGCAAGCTGCACACTGACAGCACAGAGCCTGATGTGGGGCTCAAACTCATAAAACCATGAGATCATGACTTGAGCCAAAAACAAGAATCCTACACTTACCCAACTGAGCCACCCAAGTGTCCTGAGCATCTGACTCTTGATTTCAGCTCCGTCATGATCCCAGGATTGTGGGATTGAGCCCCGTGTCAAACTCCGTGTTGAGCATGGAGCCTGCTTGAGATTCTCTCTCTTTCCGTCTGCCCTTCTCTCCCACTCAGGCTCTCTCTTAAGAAAAAAAAAAAAAAAAAGGATAAGGGCGCCTAGGAGGCTCAGTTGGTTGAGCATCCAACTTCAGCTCAGGTCACAATCTCATTGTATGTGAGTTCAACTCCCACATCAGGCCCTCTACTGTCAGCACAGAGCCCACTTTGGATCTTCTCTCCCTTCTCTCTCTGCCCCTCCCCTACTCCTGTGCTAGCTCACGTGTGCATACTCTCTCAAAAATAAATAAATAGGGGCACCTGGGTGGCTCAGTCAGTTAAGCAGCCGACTTTTGATTTTGGTTCTGGTCATGATCTCACGGTTTGTAAGTTCAGGCCCGCATTGGGCTCTGCACTGACAGTGCAAAGCCTGCTTGGGATTCTCTCTCTACTTCTCTCTGCCCCTGTCTTTCCCCATCTCTCTCTCTCTCTCTCTCTCTCTCTCAATAAATAAATAAACTTTAAAAAAAGAAAGTGTCTTTAAATAAACATTTTTTTTAAAAAATGAAAAAAAAAACAATATGGAGTTTCCTCAAAAAAATTAAAAATAGAATTACCATACAATCCAGCAAATCCACTTCTGGATATTTATCCAAAGAAAATGAAGATACTAACTCAGTAAGTATGGACTCCCATGTTCACTGCAGCATTATTTACAATAGCCAAGATTTGGAAACAACTAAAATGTCCATCAACACATAAATGGATAAAGAAGATGCACAGGATACTATGCAGCCATAAAAAAAAGAATGAAATCTTGCCATTTGTGACAACATGGATGGACCTAGGAGGCATTATGCTAAGTGAAATAAGTCAGAGAAAGACAAATACCATATGATCTCACTCACATACAGAATACACATGGAATTTAAAAAACAAAACAAACAAAATGCTCATAGATACAGAGAACAGACTGGTGGTTGCCAAAGGTGGGAGGGGAGATGAGCAAAATGAGTAAAGGAAGTCAAAAGGTAAGGTATAAATTTCTAGTTATAAAGTAAGTCATGATAATATAATGTACAGTATGGTAACTATGACAACTAATACTGTATTGCATATTTGAAAGTTACTAAGGGGCACCTGGGTGGCTCAGTCGGTTAAGCATCCGACTTCGGCTCAGGTCATGATCTCACGGTTCATGAGTTCCAACCCCACATCAGGCTCGGTGCTGACAGCTCAGGGCCTGGAACCTGCTTTGGACTCTGTGTCTCTTTCTGTGTGTCTCTCTCTGTCCCTCCCCCATTCATGCTGTGTCTGTCTCTCTCTCTCAAGAATAAATAAACATTAAAAAAATTAAAAAAAAAAAAAAGAAAGTTGCCAAGAAAGTAAATATTAAAAATCCTCATCACATGAAAAAAAAGCTTGGATCTATGTATGGAGATGATTGTAGCAATCATTTTCTCAATATACACAAATGTCAATTATGTTGCACACGTGAAGCTAATATAATATGTAAATTATACCTTCAATTTAAAAAATTATTTCATTTTAGGGGTGCCTGGGTGCCTCAGTCGTTTAAGCATCCAATTTCATTTCAGGTCATGATCTCACGACTCGTGAGTTCTAGCCCCGCATTGGGCTCTGACCTAACAGCATGGAGCATGCTTCAGATTCTCTCTCTCTCTCTCTCTCTCTCTCTCTCTCTCTCTCTCTGCCCCTCCCCTGCTCACGTGCTTGCTCTTCTCTCAAAAATAAACATTAAAAAAATAATAAAAATAAAGTATTTTATATTAAAAAAAGATGTTCAGATTGTTTTCTGTAAGTAAAATGTAGACATTTATCAATACCAAATAGATAAAGAACACATGGTATCTATATCCTGTATGCTCCTTTCAATGATCCGTGAAGGAAGTTCTTCCTGGACAGTTTCAATAAACTTTTCTAGATCCTTCCTCCTCTTAACTGTGGTATTTGTACACCTTTGCTTCTTGAAAGTTTAATTTGCCTTGGCTTCCTTGATATTGGACTGTCAGGTTTTTCTCATCATAAGTAACTTTTGCTACCACCTGCAGACCTATCCACAAGTGAAGGAATTACTCCAAGGTTCATTTTTTTCTTTTCTCTCTATACCCCTATTCACTTACAGAACCCATGAATATAACTGGTACTTCAGGGCCAAGACTGCCAACTCTATCCTGAAAACTACTTCATGTTTTAGTCTACTGTTTCCATACAATTCTCTTTTTATGTCACACTCACACAAGAAGGGAAATATCAACCCAAAACCCTTTATTACACCACAAACTATATTATCTTCCTATGGTCATTTTGAAATTACAACTATCAATTTCTCCCAGTCTTGGGAATGTTCCAAAACCTTAGAAATCAAGGGATGATCTTAGCTCCACTGATTTCAGAAAACAATTTATAATCTATTAGAACCAGCCCAAGCTAGTGATGACTACAAGTCCCAGGATGCAAAGCAGGAGCCTGGACCAATGCTGACTGTAGTTCATCCACGGAACTGAAATCTGATCCCATGTGCGGCAAACTAGGCGTCTTTGCCTCCATTTCTCAAAGTTAGTTTATAAAAATAAAGCTAGGGAAGAGAAAGTAGAATTCTTACCACAACACTAGGTCCAACCCAGCTGCCAAAGAGCCCTAGCCGCACGCACAATTCGAATTAGTGCCTCCGGGGGGTAGGGGGCTGAGGAGGAGGGAGAAAAAGCTCTTTGCGTGACGTCACTTCCTGGAGAGGCTGCCCGGATTGGCCCCTCCCTCCACCTCGCAGGGATCCTGGGCCCCGCGGCAGCCGGGTAAAGCCGGGCTGAGGCAGAGAGCGGCTGCTTTGGGGGACGGAAGGTCACGTGAGGCTTCTTGGTCCCGTGGGTGGAGACGAAAAGCTGCGGTTAAGGAGGGTCGGATTTAACCGTCACGGGGAAGCGCGCTCTACGGGATCGCGGAGGGGGCTGAGGTAGGGACGAGGCGGCGGGCGCTTTCCCGGGCGCTCTTTCGAGTGACACCTGCGCCCCCTTGGCTGGCGGGCGTCTGGCGGACTCCACCGGAGGGTGGACGGGCCCCGCAGGAACCTTCGGGCCACCCTCAGGCCACCGTCGACTCTGCCGCGCGTCTGGAGGCGCTGGCCTCGCGCGGGGCGGCGGAGTTGGGACCGTCTTGGGGCCCCTGGGAGCTCCGGAGAGCGGTGGGTCTTCCCACCCAATGAGCCGAAATGCCGTGGCCTGCTCACCCTGACAAGGCACTCCTGAGGTCGAACTGCCCCTGGGTTCTCCACTTTTCCTCTCGCCACCCACTTCTCTCTCCTACCTCGTTGCTCAGGCTCGGGCCACCTCACCTGCCTAAGGTTTTTCCAGCGTAGGACTAAGATGTCAGGCTTCGGAGCATCTCCATGCCAAGGCAAAAGTGAACACGCTATTAGTGAGCCCAGTACGTTTTCTTAAAGTTTGGGTAGCGCTCACTTCTTTGCGTGTCAGTGATTGTGTTGATACGCGCGTCCTTCCCCCAGCCCTGTGGCCTCAGGTAGTTGAGTAGCAAGGGGCAGGGCTATCCCACGGGCTTTGAAAAGGATAAGATTTCAGACTTTTATTTACTTCTTGGGAGTGTGGGGGGAGCGTCAGGCAGAACCGAGGAGCAGTGAATCAGCAACTCGAGTTTCTTGAACCTTTGATGATGAGGAAGGTTGCCCAGAGCCACGTGCTGAATTAAAAATCTTACATCAGCATCTTTTCCAAGCCCAAGCAGCTCCATTCCTACCTTTCTCACTAGTAGAGTTGCATAGATGTAGTTAAGATAGGCAGACCCTTTGTTATGTGCCATTTCACAGGTCTGTAGTTATTACAGTTTCTTAGTTTATTATTTAACAACTTAGTGGTAAACCTTTTTTTCATTGTATAATTATGAGATTATTCTGAGACAAGATAAATTGGTCCTTTTGACAACAGAGATTACGGAGTATGAGTTGTAAAGATTTGTTGACTACCCTCAGTTTATAGCATAGCAGGATTACTGATGATCTGGAGACTGAAGAACATTTTCACTTTCAACCTTTTCATATTTTAGGATATAAGTTTAATGTTCATTGGGTTTTATTTGATTAGTTTAAATTGACCAGGAGTTTTTCCAGTACATTTCATCCTGTATTTAGTAAACTAAAATTTTAAGAGCAGTTGATGTTTGCTTTGTAACATCTAAGCTTCTGGTTCACTGTTATTACTCAGGGTAATTCTTTAGAGTTTTGCTAATTAAATCAAACGGAAATATGAATAACTCTCCTCCCTTTCTTTTCTTCCCTCCTTCCCTCCTTGTATGTAGAACTGTCAGGACCATAAGCAGACAATTAAGTTTCAGAAAGGGCTTTATTTACCACTCGTCCTGTTTCCAACTCTTCTATGTAGGTGAAATCACGTTAAAATGAACATTACAGAAATCTATCACAAGGAAATGAAGTAGAGATTGAAAAGAACCTGTAGTATGAAAGTCAAGAAAAAGACTATGGAGTAGTTTTACTCTCTTTACCTTGCAAATGAGAGTCCTTAGAGATGATATTTTGGGATTAAAGAAAGAGGTTTGGGGCATGTTTTCATTCCACATAAAGTAACCGAGTGTCACAAAATCAAAAGAAATGAATGTGAACATTCTGGGGGTTTTTGGGATAACGTTCCAAATTAAAGACTAACCTTTCAATATGTTCTTCTCATTTTTAGATAGTGAATTCCCAAGAAGAAAAAAATGGATTTCATATTAGTTATTCTCTAAATGTTTGGACTCAGCAGCGTATAGGTTTGTTGCAAAAGCTAAAAGAAGATGGCAACTCCTTATGTCCCAGTTCCTATGCCCATAGGGAACTCTGCTTCCACTTTTACAACCAACAGAAACCAAAGAAGTTCTTCTTTTGGGAGTATCTCAACAAGTTCAAACTCTTCCAAAGGCCAGTTAGAGGACTCAAATATGGGTAATTTTAAACAGACAAGTGTACCTGATCAAATGGATAGTACTTCATCTGTCTGTAGCAGTCCCCTCATTAGGACTAAATTTACAGGTGCAGATTCTTCCATTGAGTATTCTACTAGACCAAGAGAAAGTGAGGAACAAAATCCTGAAACAGTGTGTTTGGAAGATAGACCTTCTACACCTACTATATTGGGTTATGAGGTGATGGAAGAAAGAGCCAAATTTACCGTGAGTATTAACTTCTGCTATACGTCAGTAGAAAGTGAAAAATTGGGTTTAATTGTTACCTATACTTGTAATTTCTTGAACATAAAATTCAAGTGGTTTTTACAACTCTAAATACTGTCATGCTGTAGTAAACCTTTGTTTTATTTGAATGAATTTTCACAAACCAGAAATTTCTGTGAAATTAGCACACAGATCAAGAAACAGAACAAGCATCCAAAATGCACCTCCCCCATGCTCTGTCAGTCAATACCCACTCTTCCTGATAGCCTGCATTAATTTTGCCTATTTTTGTACCTTCTGTAAATGGAATTGCAGAGTATGTACTCTTTGAAGTGTGGTCTTTTCAATATTGTGTTTGTAAGATTTATCCTTAAACTTGCGTGTAATTATAGGTAGCTCATTTTTGTTACTGATCGTATTCCTTTTTTGTGAATATACTACAATTTATTAAACCATTCTACTGTTGAAGCATTTGTAGAATTTCCAGTTTGGGGCTCTTACAAATGCTACTGCAATGAACCTTTTGGTACTTGTCACTCAGTAAACACATGTACACGTTTCTGTTTGGTATCTGCCCAGGAGTAAAACTGCTAGATTATATGCCTAGCTTTAGAAGATATTGATGAACAATGTGCCAGAGTGGTTGTACTAATTTATACTCCTGTAAGCAGGTGAGAGTTCTCGTTACTCTACATTTTCCCAATGTGTGGTATTTTTCATCTTTTTCATTTTACCTATTCTGGTGGATAGAGTAATATCACATTATGTTCTTAATTTGCATTTTTTAAATGGCTAGTTAAATTGAAGATGTTTTTGGCCATTGGATGGATGGCCAAAACATTCCTGTTGTGAAGTATTTGTTCCAGACCTTTATTCCTTTTTCTTTGGCAAAGTTTTTTCTACTTGATTTATAGTTTTCTCTGCATTTTGGACATAAGTTTTTTCTTACAGCATGCATTGTGTTATCTCTCACTCTGTGGCTTGCCGTTTCACTTTCTTAATGATGCATTAGATAAACAAAAGTTCGTAGTAATAAATATGCTTTATTAATTTATTAATATGCTTTATATATACTATACAAATATAAATATATTAATACTTGTTCTTTTACGGTTAACACTTTTTTTTAACTTTTCTTTTTAATGTGTTTTTAATTTATTTTTGAGAGTGAGAGAGACAGAGCACAGGCATGGGAGGGGCAGAGAGAGAGGGAGACACAGAATCTGAAGTAGGCTCCAGGCTCTGAGCCCCACATGGGGCTTGAATTTGTGAACCATGAGATCATAACCTGAGCTGAAGTCAGATGCTTAACCAGCTGAGCCACCCAGGCATCGTAACACTTTTAAAATCTACCTATTCCCAGCTTACAAAGATGTTGGCCTATGTTTTCTTCAAAAACTTTATTGTTGGACCTTTCACATTTAGATCTGTAAAGCATCTGGAATTGATTTTTGTCTGTGGTGTGAGATAAGGGTCAAGACATTTTTTTCCCCTCCGTATAGGATAAAGTAGTCCGGTTTTTATTGAAAAGACAACTCTGTCCACATTTGCACAGTTGCTTATGTCATAAATCAGGCAATCATGAACATATGGGTTTCTGTGTTCCATTTTCCCTTCATTTACCAATTCCACATTGTCCTTAATTACTAATGCAGTATGAGAGGCCTGGCTACCTGCTGTCTTAAGTAGTCTAGCTTTGTTCTTATTGACTGTCTTGGTTATCCTTGGCTCTTTGCACTGCAGTTGTATCGAATCTATAGACTGGGGAGAACTGACATCTGTACACCACTGAGTCTCTGCATCTATGAGCCTAATCCATACACGGAAGTCATTAACTTCTTTTAATGTTTTGTACTTTTCAGAGCGTAGGCCTTTCATTTTTTAGTGGTTTTTTTTTCTTTTTAAGTAATCTCTATACCCAACGTGGGACTCAAACTCACAACCCCAAGATCAAGAGTCACATACTCTACCAACTGAGCCAGCCAGGTGCCCCTAGTTTTATTTCTGAATACTGAGAAATATGTTGTTTGATGTTCTTGATACCTTGTTTTGTTTTCTTTTTGTTAATTGCTAGTTTATATGTTATGGTCTTGTGTGTCGATGTGTTTCTGTATCTGGAGACCTTGCTGAATATACTTATAATTGAAATAGTTCTTCTTGGATTTTCTTGATACAAAGTTTTTATGTTTACTTCAACATTTCATGCTATAAACTTATGACAGTATAGTAGGACCTCCAAGAAAAAAGTTGTTGTGATAAATTTTGTTGTTAGGGATATGTTTAATTTTTTTCTAAGTTTTTTATCACTATAGTTGACACGCAGTGTTATGTTTGTTTCAGGTGTACAACATAGTGATTCAACTTTTCTACACATTATGCTATGTTCACCATAAGTGTAGCCACCCTTTGTCACCACACAACACTGTTGCGGTGTCATTGACTATTTTCCTTATGCTGTACCTTTTTCCCATGACTTATTCATCCATAACCGGAGACCTGTATCTCCCTTTACCCATTTTGCACTTTCACCTACCCCTCTTTCCTTCAACAACCATCAATTCTCTATATTTATAGATCTGATTCTGCTTTTTGTTTATTCGTTTTTTTAAATTCCACATAGTGATATCATATGCTATTTGTGTTTCTCAGTCCGACTTATTTTGCTTAGCATAATACCTTCTAGGGTTCATCCATGTTGTCACATACGGCAAGATCTCATCCTTTTTTATGGCTGTGTAATATTCAGTTTTGTATATGTGTCTATTTGTATGTCTATATATGTACGTGTATGTGTTTATATATACACCACATCTTCTTTATCCATTCATCTATTAGTGGACACTTAGGTTGCTTCCATATCTTGGCTACTATAAATAGTAATGCTGCAGTAAACAAAGGGGTATATCTTTTTGAATTATTGCTTTCATATTCTTTGGGTAAATACCCAGTATTTATGGTAATGCTATTTTTAAATTTTTGAAGAACCTCCATACTGTTTTCCACAGTGACTGTACAAATTTACATACCCACCAACAAATGTACAAGGGTTCCTTTTTCTCCACATCCTTGGCAACACTTACTATTTCTTACCATTTTTATTTTAGACACTCTGATAGATACAAGGTGATATCTCGTTCTGGTTTTGATTTGCATGTCCCTTATAGTTAATGAAGTTGAACATCTTCTATTCATGTGTCTATTTGTCAGCTGTATGTCTTCTTTGAAAAAGTATCCGTTCAGGTCTTCTGCCCATTTCTTTTTAATGTTTATTATTCATTTTTGAGAGACAGATTACAAATGGGGGAGGTACAAAGAGAGAGGGAGACACAAAATCCAAAGCAGGCTCCAGGCTCTGAGGTGTCAGCACAGAGCCCGATGCGGGGCTTGAACCCATAAACAGTGAGATCATGACCTGAGCCAGAGTCAGACGCTTAACTGACTGAGCCATCCAGGTGCCCCATAATACCCATTTTTAATTGGATTACTTGTGGTTATTCTTGATGTGGAGTTGTATAAGTTCTTTATATATTTTGGATATTAGCCCCTTATCAGATACATTGCTTGCAAATAATTTCTACCATTCAGTAGGTTGTCTTTTAGTTTTTTTTGATGGTTTCCTTCATTTTGCAAAAGCTTTTTATTTTTATGTAGTCCCAATAGTTTATTTTTGCTTTTGTTTCCCTTGCCTTGGGAGACATATCTAGAAAAATGTTGCTAAGGCTGATGTCAAAAAGTTTGTTGCTTGGATTCTCTTTTTTTATTGTTTCAGGTCTCACATTTAGGTCTTCAATCCATTTTGAGTCTATTTTTGTGTAAGGTGTTAGAAAGTGATCCAGGTTCACGTTCCAGTTTTCCCAGCACCATTTATTGAAGAGACTGTCTTTTTCCTATTGTATATTCTTGCCTCCTTTGTCATAGATTAATTGACTGTATAAGCATGGGTTTATTTCTGAGCTGTCTATTCTATTCCATTGATCTGTGTATCTATTTTAGTGCCATTACCTTACTGTTTTGATTAGTATAGCTTTGTAGTATATCTTGAAATCTGGGAATATTGATACCTACAGATTTGTTCTTGTTTCTCAAGAGTGCTTTGGCTATGCAGGGTTTTTTGTGGTTCCAATTTTAGGATTATTCTAGTTCTATGGAAAATAGCTGTTGGTATTTCAATAAGGATTGCATTGAATCTGTAGATTGCTTTGGGTAGGATGGACATTTTAACACCATTCTTCCCGTCCATGAGAATGGAATGTCTTTCCAATTGTTTGTGTTGTCTTCAATTTCTTTTATCCTTGTTTTGTAGTTTTGAGAGTACAGGTCTTTCACCTCTATGGTTAAGTTTATTCTTAGGTATTTTATTCTTTTTGACACAAATGTAAATGGAATTGTGTTCTTAATTTCTCTTTCTGCTACTTTGTTACTAGTATGTAGAAATGCAACCAATTTCTGTGTATATATTTTATATTCTGGAACTTTACATAACTCATTAATTCTAATAGTTTTTTGGTGGCGTCTAAGATTTTTTGTATACAGTATCATATCATCTGCAAATAGTGATGGTTTAACTCTTCCTTACAAAAATGGATACCTCTTATTTCTTTTTCTTATCTGATTGCTGTGGCTAGGACTTTCAGTACTATGTTGAATTAAAGTGGCAAGAGTGGACATCCTTGTCTTGTTCCTGATCTTAGAGGAAAAACCCTCAGTTTTTCCCCACTAAGTATGATGTTAACTGTGGGCTGTTCATATATGGCCTTTATTATGTTGAGATATCTTTTTTCTAAATGTATTTTGTTGAGAATTTTTTCATGAACAGATGTTGGATTTTGTCAGATGCTTTTTCTGCATCTATTGAAGTGATCATATGATTTTTATCCTTTGTATTGTTGATGTGGTGTATCATGTTGATTGCTTTGTAGATGTTGAACCATTCTTGCATTCCCAGAATAAGTTCCACTTGATTGTGGTGAATGATCCTTGTAATGTATTGTTGAATGCAGTTTGTTAATATTTTGTTGAGGATTTTTGCATCTATGTTCACCAGAGTATTGAGATAATTTATGAAGAGAGACAATCTTTAGAGTTAAATTTTCATGAGACTGGTGATGTGTTGGGAAATCTGCATGGACCTGACTTTTTTTGGAAATTAAAGTGGGAACTCATTTTCTAGAGGGAAAGAAGTAAGTAACAGTTGTAAAGTTATTTTTATTCATTAATTCATTAATTCAACATTTTGGGGGTACAGCAACCCAAATGAGTGAATGATAAAGTAAGCTTTTTTAAATGCTGGTATGTCATATGGTGATAAGTGCTATAGAGGAAAATAAAAGAGTGAAGGAAGTTCCCCTACAACTGGAGTTGCAATTTAAATAACATTGTCAATCATGGCCTCATAGAAAAAATTTTAGCACTAAGAGACAGCGAACCATGAGAGTATGTGGGGAAAGAACTTTCCTGACAGGTAAGACAACTACAGAGACCCTAGTGGCTGATAGCAAAGAAGCCATGGGGAGAGATGTAGGAACTGAAATAACAAAGACAAGAGAGTGTGACACACAGATCAAGTAGAGCATGTAGCCATTGTAAGGCCATTAGATTTTACTCTGCACAAGATGAAAATCTTTGAAAATGTTTTAAAGGATTTAAATGTTTAAATTTAAAAAGTTTTAAAGTCACATGATCTGACTTAATTTTTAAAAAAGATTGATCTGGCTGCTGAGTTGAAACTAGATTTTGTGGGGGAATAATGGAAACGGGGGGTATTAGGTTCTTGCAGTAATCCACGGTAGACAACATGATGGTGGCATGGACAGGGTGGTGGGAGAATTTCTAACAAGTGATCAGATTCTGATACATTTTGAAGATAGAACCTTGAGATGTGGGAGAAGAAGAAATCAAAGATGATCCCAAAGTTTTTGGGTAAACAATGAGAAGAATAGGGTTGCCATTTAATTAGATATCAGATTATGAGGGCAAGATCAGGATTTGGTTTTGGACATGCTAGGTTTGGGATACCTAGTAGACATCAAAATGGAGATGTCATGTACGTGTCTGTGTACATACACGTAGTGTGTACGCAAGCATGTATTATGTATATGTATATTAATATAAGTTGAATTTAGGGGAGAGGTCTGAGCTGGAAATACAAGCTTGGGAGGAATCTTAGGTTTGTAAGATAATGTTTCCTACATATATTTCTTTTAGTTGATCTCTTAACTAAACAAGTATTAAGAATGACTGGTAAGATCTGGTAAAATAGAGAGCATCAAGTCTTTGAAAATTGTTTAAGAGGAAAAGTGGGTGTGCCTGGGTGGCTCAGTCAGCTAAGCGTCCAACTCTGATCTAGGCTCAGGTCATGATTTCCCAGTTCTTGAGTTAGAGCCCTGCATTGGGCTGTGCACGGACAATGCAGAGCCTGCTTGGAATTCTCCTTCTCTCCCCCTCTCTCTGACCCTACGCGAGTCATGTGTGTGTGCTCTCTCTCTCTCACTTTCTCTCTCTCAAAATAAATAGGAAAATTTTTTTTTTAATTTTAAAAATACAAAGAACAAAAGTGACTAGGAGGAGTGATGAGTCAGATTGGGAAGGATTGGGCTTCTTCAGTTGGTAATGTTTTCTTTCCTGCACTTGGTACTAGTTACCTGAGTGTGTTTGTTTTGTGAAAATTCATCAAGTTGTATACTTATAATTTCTGTGCTTTTCTATGTGTATTTTGTAATTAAGTATATGCTTCTGCATAATTTACTTACAACGTAAATATGTACAAAGTTGTATATACTAAATTTCCAGTAAAGAGTAGAAACCGTAAATGCTATTAAAACATAGAGGAGGGAATGATCGGTAGTGTCCATAAAGTTTTCATTGAAAGCACTACTTAAACAAATAGAAACATGGGAGAGCTTTCTAGAGAAGACAAAGCACAAAAATCTGTACTTTGTCTTTCTTAGAGAAGCAGAAGTGCTCAGGGGCCACTGTGGAGAGCAACTTAGAAAGGAGTGTTCATTTTTTAAAACAGGAAAATAAAGACCATATGGATTATGTGTAGGTAAGACTTATTACCATATGAGGTTGACTTTTATTATGCATCAGTTGTTCATACTCACAAGTTTGGAAGCTAAGTTATCCCTTTTGTTTTGATTAGTAACTCCTAAAAAATGTTTCTTTAGTATCTCCTTTACAACTATCTTAGATCAGGACTTTCTGCAGACCTTAAAGGGTATCCGAATAATCTTCGTCATCCTTATATGTTACCTTGAGATGTGGGACAGTTCAACCCTAATCCTTGCTGATTCCTCATTCCCCCCTTAAAAGCTGAAAGAGAAGTCTGGTAAGGGAGAAAATTCAAATGATAAGGATGATCTAGCCCCTAAATAACGAGTCTTCTCTACAGCAACCAGTAGGACTCTGTGAGCCACAGAAGTAAAAAGCAGATGAAATTATATTTAATAATATAGTTTATTTAACCTAAAACCATTTATGAACCTTTTTTTTTTTCATTCTAAGTCTTTGAAATTTGGTGTTTATTTTACACTCATATCACCTGTCATTTGGGACTTGTCAGCATTTCACGTGTTCAGTAGCCACCTGTGGCTCAAGTGCAGCTCTAGAGCTCCAGCTGAACGTTATTCCACAGCTGACTTCAGGAAAAAAAGTTACTCATTATTAAGAGGGTTTCACTGGTTCAGCAGATGGGTATTTAGTACTTCACATGTGTCATGTATTTAGTTTAGCCCAAAATACTGTGCCAAAACTATCAGGAGACGTTCTCTGAGATTCTCTTATACATAGTACTTCCTCATAATAAGTTCTAAAATTATATTTACAAAAAATAGAATTGAGTTTGCTTATAATATGTTTTTTAAAAATATTGACTTGCCTCAACCAAGTTTTTTTTTGAAGCCTTTAGATAATTGTGCATAATTATAGAAATGTAAACTTTTATATAATATGGATATTTTTTTACCTGCATTTCAGCCTTGAAGATTGAAACAACATCAAATGTATTTGAAAACTTTGCTTAATAGTTATTGAATTTAGAAGTTAAATTGATTGTATAGGGCAAGAGTGGCTATTTTTCAAGCATGATTCAGTCTTTCATCAATTTTAGAATATTTTATCATAAAACATATTTTGGAACTGATGAGTTTATTTAGCATGTGCCAGAAAAGCATTTGTCTCAAATTTGTCACACTCATGTTTCTTAAGACCTGAATCTTGCTTTTGATGCCTGCATTGTAATAATTTGTATATTTGATGGTCCAAGTGACTTCTGATATTGTTTACATACTAATTGTTATCCGGGTTTTCAAATAAAAGTTTTAAAAATATTTGATTTGAAGTTTTAAATATCTTGTATACATTTTTTTTCAGTCTCTCTCTCTCTTTCTCTGCACAGGTTTATAAAATACTAGTAAAGAAAACCCCAGAAGAAAGCTGGGTGGTTTTCAGAAGATACACTGACTTCTCTAGGCTTAATGATAAAGTAAGTCCTTAGATAAATCTAAAATGGACTTTTCAGTTTTGCATTATTAACTGTTACTGACAGTTAAATTTGTGGTTTTTCCTCCTCATGAGTTACTTGAGTGAAGTCAAATCTTTGCTAGTTCCTAAGAAAATTAACTATTTCACTTAATTTTAATAGCCTAAAGACCCATCTCTACACACAACTTCCTTATTTTGGAAAAAAAATTATTTTTAGTATAAAAATGTGAAAACCTTAAAATTGCTAACAGAAATATAAATGATTATATAACCTTGTGAATTTGAAAAAGGTATGTGTATATAAGATCTCCTAAACCATGTGACAATAAGAGAATGAACAAAAAAAGTATTTCTACCATGTTGTATTAGTTTTCTATTGCTGTTTACCAATACCACAAACTTTATGACCTAAAACATACCTTTTTATTATCTAGTGATGTAGGATCACTTCTCAGCCTTTTTGGCTAAGATCAAGTGTAGTGATTTAGGTGGGCTCAGCTGGGTTTGCCACTTGGGGTCAGACAATGTCAAAATCAAGCTGTTGCCTAGACTGGGCTCTTACATGGAGGCTCTAAGAAAGTATCAGCTTCCAGGCTCATTCAGGTTGTTAGCCGAGTTCAGTTTCTTACACTTGTAAGACCAAGCTCCCTATTTCCTTGCGGTTGTCAAGCAGAGGTGTTCTGAGCTCATAAAGAGTGCTGTCCAGCCCTTGTACCTGGCCTCTCCACCTTTAAAGTCAGCAATAGCCAGGTCAGGTCCTTTTTGTGCTTTGAGTCTCTGACTTTCTCTTCTGCAGTCAGCAAGGAATAAAGCTGTACTTTTAGAGGACTCGTATGATAAGATTAGGTTTACCCAGATAATCCCATTTTAAGACCAATTAAAGAGTAACCCTAATTACATCTGCATACAAATCTCTTTTGTGTAACATAACAAAATCACAACACCAGGAGCAAAGGTCATGAGGCCATCTAGAATTCTGCCTACTGCATTTATGAAACAGAATAATAATAAAAACCCTCAATATATTAAAAACTCTTGGGGCACCTGGATGGCTCCGGTCGGTTAAGCATCTGACTTCAGCTCAGGTCACGATCTCACGCTCAGAGCCTGGAACCTGCTTCGGATTCTGGGTCTCCCTCTCTCTCTCTGCCCCTCCCCCACTCACACTCTCTCTCTCTCTCTCAAAAAATGAATAAATATTAAAAATAAAAAATTAAGGGGCGCCCTGGGTGGCTCAGTCGGTTAAGTATCCGACTTTGGCTCAGGTCATGATCACTCACTCTGTGAGTTCCAGCCCCATATCGGGCTCTGTGCTGACAGCTCGGAGCCTGGAGCCTGCTTCGGATTCTGTGTCTCCCTCTCTCTCTACCCCTCCCCCGCTCATGCTGTGTGTCTCTCTCTGTCAAAAATAAACATTAAAAAAAATTTTTTTAATTAAAAAAAACTCTTGAAAATAAAACAAAGTAAACCAAAAAGTAGAAAATACTATAAATGGTGTGAACAAGGCAAGCCATAGAAGAAATATAAAGGACCAATAAAGGTAGAACAACATTTAATATCACAAAGTACTCCAAAGAAAATTAAGGAACTATTTTGTACCCATCAGGTTGACAGACATTTAAGTGGTGTTATCCGTTGTTGGAAATACGAATCTTCCTAGGGTACATGGCTTCCTAAAGTTGTGCTTAATCACATTTCTGGGATATGAGAAATCATGGATATGGCCAGGCAATATTTAGTTCAAAGGATACTTTTCACCATGTTTTGTTCATTGTTATTTTCTTTGTGTTTTAATTTGTTTTTAATACTTAAAAATTAGAACCAACCTAGATTTCCAGTAGGGAATTGATTGAGCAAATGGCAGTAAGAATGTAATAGAGGAAGAAAAGCTGAGCTGTGTCCACAGGGCTAGAGGGAAATTAGAGGAGATAGATGAGGGGAGTGGTATTTAAAGTATTATTTGTAATGTAGTCCTGCCATTATATATGAATTTTATTTATTGTTCCTGAGTTCTTATATTACTGTAATATAAGAATTATAAAACCTATAATTATAATTTTATAATTTAAAATAATTTAAATTTATTATATAACATACATAATATATTATATATTATAATTATATTTATAATTATAATATATATTGTTATATTATACATACTATATTATATATAATATATAATATATAAATTTATAATTTATAATTATAAAACCTATAATTATAAACCCAGAATTATAAAACCTATAATTTTCTACCTCTGTTGATTTTTTTAAAATAATTAAGCAAGCAAGAAGATCAAAGTAATTTGTGAAGTTACCAGATACCAAAATGGAATTCTTAGCTTTCTTATGAAATTGTTATAATTTTTGTTCATGAAGACTAATTTCTAACAGTTTCTCTTTAGAGCTATATAATCCTTTATGACTTGCTATTTTTCTTTTCAGGGTTCAACTATTTAGTGTTTATTTCTCTTCATCTCTCTAGGTGCATCTTTATATTGCTGTGTTATTTGTTAGGCAAGTTGAGATTTAGATAACTCTTAAGTTTTTAAAGAAAGATTAGTAAGAATTTAATTTAAATTAGTAAATATCTCCTTGATATTCCAACTTGGGCACCTAAAATTAATAAGTGTCTATGTCACTGTTCCTAGGTACCAGAAATAGCTCTACCCATCACCTGCTTTTACTTGCAAGAATCAAAAAATGTGTGTAAAAGTCAAGCCACAGCCTGGGAGAAAATATTTGTCATACCTGTATCTGACAAAGGACTTGTATCAGGAATATATAAAGAACTCTTGTAACTTAATAATAAAAGATAAATAATCCAGTTTTTTTAAGTGGAGAGGTTAAAAGATTTAAATAGATAATTCACCAAAGATATGCAGATCCAAATAAGCACAGAGAAGATAGTTAACACGATTTGTCAACAGAGGAATGCATATTAAAGCCACAGTAAAGTACTACTATGTACTCACCAGAATGGCTAACATTAAAAGGATGGACAAGGCCTAGTATTAGCAAGGATGTGGAGCAGTTGTAATGCGTATGTACCCACAACTGGTATAGAAATTAATAAGTAAAACACTTGAAGTAAGAAAAACTTAGCTGGATTTTATTCTTTATTTAAGTTTATTTCATGTAGTTAACAGGATAGATTTTGTAGAATTGCTATGATTGAGTTGAACACTGTTTTCTTTTTTTCTTTTTCAGTTAAAAGAGATGTTTCCAGGCTTTCGATTAGCACTTCCACCAAAACGCTGGTTCAAAGATAATTACAATGCCGACTTTTTAGAAGATAGACAATTAGGATTGCAAGCGTTTCTTCAAAATTTAGTGGCTCACAAGGACATTGCTAACTGGTATGTGACAAACTTAAATAAGAGGTTATAGGTGCATTCCAACAACTTGTTTAAACTGAAGAACAAACACAGACCATAGTTAATTGAAGCACAAAAAAATAGGGTAGGAATATAATTACTTAACCTCTCCAATACAGCACTATTTGGAATTTTCTTGCTTTTTATTGGTAAGAATTTTATCTGGTGGGACGGACTCAGTTGGTTAAGCATCCAACTCTTGATTTTGGCTCAGGTCATGATCTGATTGTTCATGAGATCAAGCTCTGCATTGGGCTCTGTGCTGACAGTACAGAGCCTGCTTGGGATTCTCTCTCTCTCTCTGTGTCCCTTCCCCACTCGCACACGCTCTCTCTCTCAAAATAAATAAATAAACATTAAATTAAAAAAAGAATTTTATTTGGCATTTGATTTGTATTAACACTTGTAAAAAGTCAGCAAAGTTAAAAATTTTTCAATGTAAAAAAATTTTCTAAGTTAAAAATTCAGTGTACCATATACTCAACCCAACTGTAAACTTGATTTTAGTATTTAGTATTTTAGCAATCATTTAAACAAAGTGGCCCACATATTAGAATTTTGGTTAATATGACACTATATATTTCTCCAAAGTAGTGCAAAAATATGAAGGTTGGGAAGTTGGGTTAATTTATAAATTATATATATGCAATCATATATGCAATTCCCTCTTGACAAGGATATCTTTCAGATATCTCAAAGTGATCTCAAACTGGGTAAAAGCTTACTCTCTAGACTTTTTTCCCAATGTTCAGCAACATCATTTATCCAGCACCTGGTACTTATCGTTGATACAATCCTCCCACCCTTATCCCTTCCTCTATGTTTTAAATTCCATTCAAATCTGTCTACTTTTCTCCATTTCTACCATCACCACCCTGATCTAAGCAGTTATCTCTCACCTGAATTACTGCAAAAGCTTTCCCTCTGGTTTGCTTGATCCACTCATATTTCTGTAGCCCATTGGAGCCACAGTGCTCTTCAGCTATATTGGTCTTTTAATTTTCCAAAGTCACATTGCTCCTTGGTCCCTTAGGGCCTTCAAGTATCGTGTTCCCTGGAAAGACAATGTTTCACACTACTATCCCACCCAGCCATGGCCTAGATAATACCTATATGTCCTTCACATTTCAGTTAAAAACTTCACTTCCTCACATAACTGGTTTTCCTGACCCAATTCCTCATGCACCACCACCACCACCACCACCAAAGACTAGTTTAGTTCTATTTCATAATACCTGTACCAGTCCCTCTCAACTGGTTCTGAAAGTCAAATCCTAATGCCTTAAGTAAGGCACACATTGTATCTATGAATTAACTTCTCTAGGCTGGTACTAGTTATGTGCCAGTCTTAAGGGAACTGAGAAAATAGTCAAATCTTTGCCTTTAGCATCTAAGTCTCTCCTGGAATCCCAGCTAAGAAAGGCTGGTTGGTACTTGAATTTCATAGCATTTCAGTTTGTGACTATTTATCTGATTATTTGATTTTCACCCACCTGGTTGTAAGGTAAATATGTAATAGTAGGTTATGTGGCTGTTTTACTCACCGTTCAGTGTTCAGTGCTTAATACAGTGGTAACACAAGGTCTGTGCTCAATAAGTACTTGTTAAACAAATGGCTGAAATGTTGATAATTGCTACTGTATTATTATTACAAGAAAAATATTTTGGGGGTGCCTAGGTGCCTCAGTTAGTTGTCCAATTCTTGATTTCGACTCAGGTTATGATCCCAGGGTTGTGGCCTTGAGCCCCACATCAGGCTCCATGCTGAGCTTGGAGCCTGCTTGAGATTCTCTCTCTCTCAGGGCAACCTGGGCTCACTCTGTTAAGTAGCTGACTTTTGATTTCAGCTCAGGTCATAATCTCACAATTCGTGAGTTCAAGTCCCACATTGGGCTCTGTGCTGACAGTACGGAGCCTGCTTTGGATTCTCTCCCTGTCTCTCTGCCCCTCCCCTGCTCATGCTCACTCTCTCCTCTCTCTCTCTCTCTCTCTCTCTCTCTCTCTCACCGTCCCTCCTTCCCTTTTTCTCCTTTTGCCCCTCTCTACCACTTGTGTTCTCTCTCTCTCAAAAAAAAAAAAAAAAAAAGAAAGGAAAAAAAAGAAAAAAGTTTGAAGTATATATGTTAACTCAGTGATTGTACACTCTAGGTAGTAGGAACACGGAGTTCCCTAATTCTCAAAATTTGTACATCTCAAAAGCAAAAAGGAAGTTAGTGTTAATTCAGACACACAGAGAAAGAATAAAAACCAAAAAACTCTCAAATCATAAAGATTTTGAAGAAATCTTTTGAAGAAAATATATTTTATATGATACCATAAAAGAAAATAAGAAGTCAACATATCTTATCCCCTTTTTCTTTTAGTCAGTAAACCTTTATGTCTTAGTATTGAAAATATCAGGGTGACTTAAAATCACATTTATTCTATAAATATACTCTATATAATGAAATATTAAATAACATAAATCATATTAATAAGCTGATTTTGTGGTATCTTGATTTTTTAGTGAAAGTGTATCTTAGTTTTATTGCATTTTTTAAAAATGATTGGTAATAATGGGACACTGGGTTGGCTCAGTTGTTTCAGTGTCCTGTTTTGGCTCAGGTCATGATCTTATGGCTCATGGGTTCAAGCCCCGCGTCAGGCTTTGTGCTGACAGCATGAAGCCTGCTTCGGATTCTCTGTCACCCTCTCTCTCGGCCCATCCCCTGCTTGTGTGCATGCTCTCTCTCTCTCTGTCTCTCTCTCTCTCTCTCTCAAAAAAAAAAAAAAAAAAAATGGGGCACCTGGGTGGCTCAGTCAGTTAAGCATCCTACTCTTGGTTTCAGCTCAGGTCACGATCCCACAGTTTGTAAGTTTAAGCCCCGCATCGGGCTCTGTGCCGATGGTGCGGAGCCTGCTTGGGATTCTCTCTCTTGCCCTCTGTCAATGCCCCTCCCCTGCTTGTGCTCACTCTCTTTCAAAAAAAAATAAACTAAAAAAAAAAAAAAATTCCTAGAACAACATAGGGGAATGCTTAACTTTGGACCAAAGAAAAATTCACAGTAGGATTTATAATTCTACCATAGAAAAAGAAAAGACATACTTCCTGAAGTTATCCATGGCCAAGATTATTGTCTCATAACCTTCCTCTTAAAAGAAGTAGGAGGTTAGGGGCACTTGGGTGGCTCAATTGGTTCAGCATCAACTCTTGGTTTGGGTTCAAGTCATGATCTCACAGCTGGTGAGTTCAAGCTGTGCATCAGGCTGTGTGCTGACGGCAGGGAGCCTGCTTGGGATTCTGTCCTCCCCCCCCCTTTCTGCCCCTCCACTGCTCTTGCTTTCTCTCTCTCAAAAATAAACACTAAAAAATATTTTTTAAAAATCTGTACTTTAAAGAACTGATTGATGATAGATTTTTGTCTCTGAGGTAGGCATATATGGTACGTTTGCGATCCTTTTGTTTCTAAACTGTGTACTTCAGTACAGTGGTAGTAGTCTTGCTCAATTCATAAGTAGGTATTTCAGGAAAACAAAGATTTCTTGGCCAAATAATTTGGGAAAGGTTTCACGTGACATTCCTAGAATACTAGAAGTTCTAAGAAGTCTTGCATTAAAAAATGTAGTGTATCAGGTGTTGTCTACTTGATTTTGTCATGTAAATCATCATTTAGGGACTACTGTTAGATAAATTGAACTCAGAATGAAGTATTTATGCCTTATTTATTCTAGAGTACACTCTGTCTTTTTTGTGGGTTATGGGTAGCATTCTTTATTTCACAGTTTAACAAGTTTCTTAATAAGTTTTTGTTTAAACCATGAATGAAGGGAAGGAAAGAAATTATTTATCTGTATTATCTTGAGCATTTGCTCTGTGTCATGCTAGGAAGTTTATGAAGGAAGCTAAGGTTGTAGTCACTGGTCTTAAAATTCATTTGAAGAAATGAGGCTTCAGGATGAACAAAATAAGGGAGTTTATGAAATGCTTCTTGGTATGATACATGTTACCTGTTGATATACTTGTTAGCCTCCTTTTATAGTTGTAATGGGAAAATAGAAAAATTGCTGTCTTTATATGGCCAAATATTTGATATTCTTTATAGATTTATAATTACACTTTTTTTACTTTCTTTTTTTATATCCTTAGCACTTCACAACACAGTTACTTCTTAACGTTCATGTTGGCTAAGAGCTTTTCATTATACAACAGGCTGGTGGAGGCTTTTAATATTATTACCTCTGTAACTGTAACAAAGCAGAAATAGAAGAAAGTAAGAACTGAAAGGACACTAAGGATAGTTGATCTGAAAGCTTTAAGATAATATTTTCAGATGCATTTAGAAAATACAAAGGAAACATAAAAAAAAGTTAATATTTTCATGATTTCAAAAAATCAAAGGATTTCTTATTGATTTTCTCTGTTCCATAAATATTTATGTAGGTCTTACTGCATATAAGTTATTGTAGTACACAAAGGTGCTTTAGATACTGATCCTTTATTTAAGAAAACTGAATAGGAGGAAGATTTACCAAAAACAACTATGATGAGTAGAGCTAGATCTCTTTCAGAGGAGAAAGAGGGAACTTTTGACTAGAAGAATTGCAGGAAGCTTCCTAGAGGGTGACATTTGAGCTGGATTTTAAAGAATTAGTGATATTCAGACCAACAAGAGAAAGTAAAGAAGGACCTTACAAATGAGAGGGAGTATTCTATCAAAATGCAGAAGCGGAGGAAGATGGCGGCGTAGGAGGACGCTGGGCTCACCGCGCGTCCTGCTGATCACTTAGATTCCACCTACACCTGCCTAAATAACCCAGAAAACCACCAGAGGATTAGCAGAACGGAGTCGCCGGAGCCAAGCGCAGACGAGAGGCCCACGGAAGAGGGTAGGAAGGGCGGCGAGGCTGTGCGCGCTCCACGGACTGGCGGGAGGGAGCCGGGGCGGAGGGGCGGCTCGCCGGCCAAGCAGAGCCCCCGAGTCTGGCTGGCAAAAAGCGGAGGG